CCGTATAAACGGGTTCAGGGCCAAGTTTTCACCTCCCTGAAGGAGACTCCGCCCTTCGGCGTGAAATCTCCTTCAGGTTCCTCCCTTAAATAAGCCCGTAGGAAGAGAAGGAACCGAACAGTCGTTCAAAAGTTGAATGACTGACTGACGATCATTCAGTCACCCCACGAGGGTGTCATGTGGCACAAAATTGGCCTTTTTAAAAATGGGCATTCCCGAGCCATTAGGCTCGGCCAAAAATAATGTAGCCCATTTGAATCCGTATAAACGGGTTCAGGGCCGGTTTACCTCCCGAAATGGTCTCCGCCCTTCGGCGTAGCCTCCTTCAGGTTCCTCCGCCCGTAAAATTGAAGAGAGTTCAAACCAAGCAGTCGGTTCAAAAATAACCTGAACGAATGACTGACGATATTCAGTCACCCCCCCCGAGGGTGTCATGTGGCAAATGACATGCCTTTTTAATGTGGGATCATTCCCGAGCCATTAGGCTCGGCCAAAATATATATTTGAACCCGTATAAACGGGTTCTGGGCCGATTTACCTCCCCGAAGGAGACTCCGCCCCTCGGCGCAGCCTCCCTCAGGTTTCTCCCGCCCATAGGAAGAGAGTTGAACCGAACAGTCAGTTCAGGGTGAACGACTGACTGACGATATTGAGTCACCCCCCACGAGGGTTTGTCATGTGGCACAAAGGCCTTTTTTTTCAACGTGGGCATTCCCGAGCCATTAGGCTCGGCCAAAAAATAGCCCATTTGAAGCCGTATAAACGGGTTCAGTGCCTGTTTTGACCTCCCCCTGGAGACTCCGCCCTTCGGCGTAGCCTCCTTTTAACCTGTTCCTCCCCACCCGTAGGAAGAGAGTTAAAACCAAGCAGTCGGTTCAAAAGTGAACGAATGACTGACGATATTCAATCACCCCACGAGGGGTGTCATGTGGCATAAGGCCTTTTAATGTGGGCATTCCCGAATGATTATAAAGTAAATTTCCAAAAAATAACCCATTTGAACCCGTATAAACAGGTTCAGGGCCAATTTACCTCCCAAAAGACTCCGCCCTTCGGCGTAGCCTCCTTCGGGTTCCTCCCGCCCGTGGAAGAGAGTTCAAACCAAGCAGTCGGTTTAAAAGTGAACGACTGACTGACGATATTCAGTCACCCCCCTACGAGGGTGTCATGTGGCACAAAGGCCTTTTTAATGTGGGCATTCCCGGCCATTATAAAACCATTAGGCTCGGCCAAAAATAGCCCATTTGAACCCGTATAAACGGGTTTCAGGGGCCGAATTTACCTCCCGATTGGGCTCCGCCCTTCGGCGTAGCCTCCTTCAACTTTCTCCACCCGTAGGAAGAGAGTTCAAACCGAACAGTCGGTTCAGAGGTGAACGACTGACTGACGATATTCAAACACCCCCCAACGGGGGTGCATGTGGCAGAAAGGCCTTTTTAACGTGGGCATTCCCGAGCCATTAGGCTCGGCAAAAAATAAAACATTTGTTTAAAGCCGTATAAACGGGTTTCAGGGCCGACAATTTTACCTCCCCTGAAGGAGACTCCGCCCTTCGGCGTAGCCTCCTTCGGGTTCCTCCCCCCCGTTTAAAGAGAGTTAAAACCAAACAGTCGGTTCAAAAGTGAACGAATGACTGACGATATTCAGTCACCCCCACAAATTGTCGCGTGCACAAGGCCTTTTTAATGTAAAGCATTCCAAGAGCCAATTAGAAACACTCGGCCAAAAAAAGTAGTTTTGTTGAACCCGTATAAACGGGTTCAGGGCCAATTATAAATGAATACCCCAGACAGGAGACTCCGCCCTTCAGCGTAGCCTCCTTTCAACAGAATCTTCCTCCCCGCCCGTAGGAAGAGAATTTCAAACCGAACAGTCGGTTCAGGGTGAACGACGACTGACGATATTCAGTCACCCCCCCCCTAATCGGGGTGTCAACTGTCTCTGCAGAAGGCCTTTTTAACGTGGGCATTCCCGAGCCATTAATGGCTCGGCCAAAAAATAACCCATTTGAACCCGTATAAACGGGTTCCAGGGCCGAGACTTACCTCCCGAAGGAGACTCCGCCCTTCGGCGTAGCCTCCTTCGGGTTCCTCCCGCCCGTAGGAAGAGTTCAAACCGAACAGTCGGTTCAGAGGTGAACGACGACTGACGATATTCAGTCACCCCAGAGGGTGTCATGTGGCACAAAGGCCTTTTTTAACGTGGGCATTCCCGAGCCGCTGGCTCGGCCATCTCTTCATTTGAACCCGTATAAACGGGTTCAGGGCCATCTTACCTCCCTGAAGGGAGACTCCGCCCTTCGGCGTAGCTCCTTCAGGTTCCTCCGCCCGTAGGAAGAGTTGAACCGAACAGTCAGTTCAGCGTTGAATGACTGACTGACGATATTCGATCACCCCCACGAGGGTGTCATGTGCTTTATCTTCACCTACTTTTTAACGTGGGCATTCCTTTGCCATTAGGCTCGGCTCTAAATAGCCCATTTGAACCCGCATAAACGGGTTCTGGGCCGATTTAACCCTCCCGAAGGAGACTCCGCCCTTCGGCGTAGCCTCCTTCGGGTTCCTCCAAATTTTCCGTAGGAAGAGTTGAACCGAACAGTCAGTTCAGAGGTGAACGACTGACTGACGATATTCAGTCACCCCCCACGAGGGTGTCATGTTATGTCAAGATGCCTTTTTTAATGTGGGCATTCCCGAGCCATCAGGCTCACAAAAAATAGCCCATTTGAAGCCGTATAAACGGGTTCAGGGCCGGTTTTACCTCCCCGAAGGAGACTCCACCCTTCGGCGTAAACTCCTTCGGGTTCCTCCCGCCCGTAGGAAGAGAGTTGAACCGAACACAGTCAGTTCAGAGGTGAACGACTGACTGACAATATTCAGTCACAACGAGGGTGTCATGTGAGCACAAAGGCCTTTTTAACGTGGGCATTCCCGAGCCATTAGGCTCGGCCAAAAAAGCCTTTATATGAACATTTTTTCTTCCGTATAAACGGGTTCTGGGCCGGTTTATCTCCCGAAGAAGTGTATATCCGCCCTCGGCGCAGCCTCCTTCTATTCCTCCCGCCCGTAGGAAGAGAGTACAACCGTGCAGTCGGTTCAAAACTTGAACTACTGACTGACTATATTTAAGCGTCCCCCACGAGGGCGTCATGTGGCACAGGGCCTTTTTTCTCGTGGGCATTTCCGAGCCATTAGGCTCGGCCAAAAAATAGCCCATTTGAACCCGTATAAACGGGTTCAGGGCCGGTTTACCTCCCCGAAGGAGACTCCGCCCTTCGGCGTAGCCTATAGACTCCTTCAGGTTCCTCTCGGGATGTAACAATAAGAGATAGATCAAGTATCGATCTTCATAAAGACTGAAAAATAAAATTGACAAAGATTATTGTTTAAGGTTGATGGACACGCATGTCTTAATTAGTTTTTTTTGGTTTTGTTTTTTTTTTTTTACAAATTGGTCAAACCCAAACTCAAACAAAAACATTGTTTTCAATCGTTATGAGTCTACCGATTGAATAGAATTTTATTATAAACAATTGCCTTGTAAATGTAATTTTTAAAGCATTCTGAATGTAAAAATAAAGAAAAAAGTGTGCAAGGCAATAAGAAACACTACCTGACAAAAAAAAGTGAAGTTTTGTTGAAATCGGTTGAAAAATGTAGGAAATCCAATCCCATATATAAATGAACATACACGCACACACACACACACACACACAACCTGGGTTTTATAAGTATAACTTGATATGAGTTGTCCCCCTTTCATTCAGGTGATGCCTCTTAATTGTGTTTTCAAATTGATTTCGTGCAAAAACAATTGTGTTTTTCCAATTTTTGGCGCTGTCAAAACCACCACAAGGTAATTTTACATAGTCCTGTGATGTTTTGTTGAAATTGGTTGAAAAATGTAGGAAATCCGATCCAATATATAAACGTACACACACACAACCAGGATTTTATAATAATTATGATAGAATGGATTCCTTTTGGACCCCATCCCTGGTTTAGCTGGACTCTTTTTGTTCACCTAGTTAATGTGTGTAATTGTTGTTCCCAGCCTGTTCCCAGTATTCTCTTTTGTTATGATCCTTGTCAAGATTCCCAACCTCCCCAGTTTATTTTGTCCCCTTTTTATTTGGACTGCATTAGCCTTTGATTTTCCCACTCCATAAGTTATTTGCCCTTCCCTCGCCTCTATTGAGTGAGTTGCTTGATTCTGTTTATCAGTAGAATACAGTGGCCACTGTTTGTTTTTTTCTGTGGGGTGGTCAGGTCTTACTAACATATTTTATTTTAGTTTGAATGTTTTGTTGCATTTTTGTCACTGGTTTCATTCCCCGCCACCCCATTTCATTAAATATATATTTTATAAGAAAAATGAAAAGGTAAAAAAGACAATTTGTACATTATCAAATTTTTATGTCATGGGGTTTTGTGTAGGATCATTATGAATATGTGGTATTTTGGTAAATGTCAGATTGGGTGTGGAGGCATGTGTTCCTATGGTGAATGAGTCAATTGTAAGAATGAATCAGATTAGCTAGGCATAGAATAGTCAGTGGTGACCAGCCTTGTCCTGATCACAATTGTATACAATACATAATCTTATACAGAACTTTTAGAAAATAAAATTAAAAAAATACAGTAAATTAAATTTTCTAATTTATTTTGTAAAATAATGGCAGTAACTGTCTGTATCTGCTTCATAAATTAACTAAAATTATATAGCAGGAAGAAATAAAGTGATGGTCAGAGAGAAGAAAAGGTTAGTCAGAGCAACGAAAAAGTAAATTTTATTTTACTACAAAAACGATTATCTCGTCTTGACAAACCTGGATCGACTTTCTTGGCAAAAGAAAACAAAAAGAAGTCATTTGTGAACAAACAAGGGAAGCAACTTCGTTAGTCGATGTGGCATCGTTGATCGTCAAGTTGAATGAATTTTGTTGCGGCAGTTGTGTTTCTGGACTAGACTTGTCTCCGAATTATGGTGTCTACCGTCTAATGGAAGATAAAAAACGCGAGAAGAAGGTAGTTGAGACACAATTTTGCTTACATTATCATTTCTCTTTGTTTATATTTTTATCGCCCGAAACTTTTGTAAAAAGTAAACTCTGAATTCCAGTCGTAGTTTCGTACACATTCACGCATTCTTGTTTACAAACATACCTGTTAAAAAATGTACACAACTTTTTTTTAACACAACCATAAATGATATTTTTTAAATAGTTTCTCCTTAATAAAAGTAATATTTGTAGAATTATATTTCATAATTTGAAATTAGCCGATCAAAAAACCCCCAAAAACATGCAAATTAATTGCATAGTCGTACACCTTAAAAAAAGTTAAAACGCCAAAAACTTTCATTATTTCGACATCTATGCACGTTTTGCATTCATATATTTGTGCAAAAAAGTTATTGTAATAAACTCGAACGGAATTTGATGTAAATAATAAAAAATTTATTATATTCGTTTTGATTTGTTTGTAACGAGGAACTATTACAGATTACTAAATGAAATGTAAACTTTTTTGCTTTTTTTTATTCTCCCCTAGACAAGAAAAAAAAAATACAATTGTTGTCGTTCGTCGTTGACTTGTGCTTAAACGGGAATCTTTAATTGATTTTACAAGTAAAATTAAATTCAAACTATTAGCTCTAACACAAAATTACAGCCTGAGACGAAACCTAATTTATTTCACAAAAAAAAAAAATGTTCTAAATATGCTTATTTTTATTTTTCACCTGACTATATAAATTTGTTTTGAATTTGAGAATGTATGTTCTTTCTTAGTGTTAAAATGTAACTTTAAGGTTAGAATAAGATATTTAATTTCAAAATTGTTTACATTTGAGTAAAAAAAAAAAGTAAACAAGTTATGGAAAAGTTTTGTTTAAGTAATTGTCATAAAGTTATGGTCCAATGAAAAAAGTTTATACAATAAAAATACTTTATTTTCTACTTCCGCTTAAAAACAAATTTGGCGTTTTATTTCTTGCTGAAATGGTAATATCTTTTTTTTTTTTTTTAAACTAATTTAGATTAAGCAAGGAATTCTGACAAAAAATCGATACTTTATTAATTCTTAATACAGGTGTACTGTAAGCTTAGATTTTTTAAATATGCTTTTTTAAAAACTAAATCCAGTGATAGGAATAACTTTTTAAACTAAAGTAAAAGTAGGAAATATACTTTTTACGTCTACTTGGGGATTATTGGTAATCTTGAAAATCAGCATTCGAAATATGTTTCAGCTAAATTCGAACATCAACCACATACTCCGGAGGGAAGACCCAGTCTGCTGTGAACACGTTATAGTTAAAAAAACAAAAAACTTAAGACATTTAAAAAAAAGAAAAAAAAAAAAAAAAAGTGATGATTGTTAATGTTAAATGCCTTGGTACTAGGAAGAAGTCACCTCGCCCGATCAGTAATTAGGAAGCTTATTCAGCCGATCATTATTGACGTTATTTTTTAATTTTTATGGTTAATTTTGATTTGAATTCGATTTTAGAAGTTGCGTTTTACTGGCCTTGTGTAAGTAAGGATAAGAAGATTTAAAAAGAAAATAACTTAGATGCAGCTCGCATGGTTGGCTGAAATTTAAATGCTAGTTATTTTATTTTAAAATTTATTTCCCACTAAATAAAAAGAGGTTTAATTAAAAAACCAGGTAAAAACTAAAGTCTCAAATAGAAAAGTTTTCTAAGAAAACAGACCCTCACTGCTTGGGGAACATGCAATGCATTTCTTTCGTTCCAATTCTTCAAACATTCAACCTTTTTTTTAGTCCAAGCGAAATTCTAAATTTAATTAAAAATGTAATTTTCTTTTTCTTTACCGTAGACGTTTTTGTTTTTTAAAAAATATTCGAGTGCTCAAAATAGGTGTGTGTTTTTTAAATGCACAGAAATGTGTCTAAAAAATAAAAATCAATTGGTAAACGTTTGAGATCTTTTTTATTTAATTCACTCCAAAATGAAAAGAATTTTATTTACTAAAGTTCAAAAGTTATTTTTTGCCTTACGTCTCCAAAGGAGCTCACACAATTCCACAACAAAAAACTCTCTAGTTTAAACACTATCATTCGGCGATGAGTCCCGAACATGGACTTTTTTAGTCTTCATTTGGCATTCCGCCAGGTACTTTCGATTGTTTTCGTATGAACTGATGTTTCTGGGTCAACAAAATTCATACTGTGATCTACAGTTATTGGGATCATCCGTCAAATATGTATATACTTTCCAACAATCTGACATCGTCATAATAACACAGCTAAAATACAGCTTTGGATTGTGTCCAATAAATGTGAAGGCAAAACATCATGGCAAGCTAAACAAATTTTCATTTAAAATTTAATTCATAATTTCAAGAGTGTCAAAAATTTAATAAAAAAAAAACCAAACAGACTTTGATTTATAATTTCTTGGAGTGAATTAATATTTGTGATAAGTAACTATATTATTTCGGGTAAATTAAGGAACTTTACAATATTTGGAGTAAATTAACAGAAAATCAGAATGTTAAAAGGAGAGGGACTTGTCATGAGAGAGCACTTATCATGGGAAGGAGACTTATCATGAAAAGGGGACATCATAAAAACAGACATCATGAAAAGAAGACTTATCATAAAAAATTTTGACTCTTGTACAAACCAGACATATCAATACAAATATTTAAAATGAACACAACTTTCAAACTAAAACCAAAAAAAACAAAAGAACATTTGTTGGTTCCAATCAAAAACATTCTTAAAAACATCATCTACCCCAAATTTTAGACAAATGCTGGGATTTCATCATAATGAATAAAATAGACCATTTCTTGGTCTTATCCGTTATATATTTTTTTTTTTTCTTGCCTTCAAGTCAAAATGCTGCAGTCACTTGACTGTATTCTTTTTGCATGTTAACACCATTCTTACTTTGTGACCTTTTTACCTTTATTACTGTTGCTTTGCCTATTTCTTACTTGCATATATATTATTTACTTAGTATTATTTACCTCTGTTCTTTTTCTTATTGTTTATTTGAAACTTTTTCAGTTCTGTTTGTTGGATATTTTTGCCATTTAAACTTGACCATAGCCAATTACTCCACACATTAAACAAATCCTGGCATTAAATAACCCTAAAGAAGTTGAAATGTTGCTAAAAAAACTAAAAGGATAGATTGAGCTCTTCAGCCTTGGATAGCAAACAGTTGAGGAGAAGGAATTCTCTGAACTGAAAACAACAGAGAAAGCAACAGGAAACTACTCTGCTATCTTTTGCAAAAAAAGCCTTGGCAATATACTGATAAAGAAATGTAATCTGTGGAGAGGTATGATCATCTCCACCCTGAAGGAACATGGCATTAAACAGGAAAAAAATATAAGATAAAAAGCCCTAATAGCTAAAAATAAGCTTTCCATATCATGCAACATGATTATCAGCTTACATAAACTATTTTTTTTCTTTTTGATAAATGATCATATTGTGTGAGAAGTTGAAGAAAATATCAAGTGAAACATGATAAAAACAGCTAAGATAAAGATAGCTGTTTGAATCCTTTTGGCAGTTCAGTTTAAAAACATTAACACAGAATGTTCTGTAAAAGAAATGATAGAGAATAAATGGATTAGAGGGTGGAAAACAGAGATAGGAAGAGAGTAGTAATTAGAAGAGAAAGAGGAGGAGAAAAAGAGTTACTAGAGGAGTGGAAGTTATAAAAGAAACATGGAGTTTTGTTTTTCACCCAGTACTAGATTGGCAGCAAGGTCTCATCATTTTACAGTTGAAATGGCTAGCAGTTGTGGAACTCTCTTCTGGCAATTGTTATTTTCTGTCTTCTTAATTCATATTCTTTTATTGTCCTCTCTCCTTAATAGTATTTTTTCTCAATAACACTCAGTAACTCTTTATGTCTTAGTGGCTTTATTGCCTTGCTTGGGGTTAAAAAAAACTCAAGACAAACAAAAGGATTGGTTGTTAGGATTTAGTGTGATCTGTTTATAGATATACCTGATTGATAAGAGTCTATTTGCAATAATGGCTATCCTCTAGACATGGTAAAATCTAGAATTAATGCTAAGTCTATAAATCGAGTATTTGGTCCCAAAAAATGTCCTGAAAATCTTAGATTGCTGTGGATTGACAAGGTTGGTGCAAGATTTTCTAAATATCTCTACCAGTGTCAGATGATATTTTTATGCTAATTCACACACCATATTTTCTTCTCAACCATTGCTAAAATAAATTCAAGTTTGATCTTCAAAAATTTAAATGCTATGTCAATTATTATCTTCTGTCTTCTTAATTCCTCTTCTTTATTGTTCCCTCTCCTTTTTTTCTCATATTCTCTAACCACTTGCCTCCTAGTGGATTTATTGCTTTGCTTAGGGTGAAATGATTAAAAAAAATTTAAAGATCCAAGGGTCACTCAAGGTAGAGAGTTATTGAGTAAGGTTGTTGTAAGTGAAGGGGAAAGTGAGAAATGCATATTATGAGGATTTATGATAGATATAGGTTGACCCTGAACTTAGAGCAAGATTCCAGTTGTCAGGGAAGCATTCTTTTGATAGTTTGTCCCAGAAAATAACTGTTCCATGGAAGAAGCTGTCTGAGTGGAACTTGTTTTTTACCAAAGAAACTAGAAAGGAATGGTGATAATTTACCACTGTGAAAATGGCACAGCAAGTCTGAGCTGGTGGAACTAAGGAATGTAACTCATCTGAACATCTGCCATAATAATTGTGATAGAGTAGTAACAGACAAAAAAAGTTTCATCTGTGGCATAAGGGTTGCAGGGTGCAGAATAATTCCTCCCCCACAAGGTTGCATAAGTACTTTTTGAGGTAAGACAGTGACGATTATGTGATACCAGCCCAGATATGGTAGCAATACTCCATTATTATGAGGATAAATAGTTATTGATCCATGACTTGACGTGATTTGAAGAAATTAAGATTGTAGTGCTCAGGGAGGCATCCAGGCAGGAGTTTGTTCCACTAAGTTTTGGTTCTCAGGGAAAAAACTGTCTGAGCAGAACT